GGGGGGAAAACAGCTGGGCCACACCGCCACCCCCACCCGCCCCCCGACGACACGGAAAACGCATTACAAAAACCCTCACGTCTTCATGGTCAACGAGGAATTCCACACAGGGACCTCCCGCGACGTCCCAGGGGGCACAGAGGGGCTATGACTAACGCATATATTTATATAGATTTATAGTTATATACACAGAGACCACGATGGCGGGGAAGAGGACAATCTGGCTAAGAGCTCTTTCCAACGGAAAACACCGATAGAAGCTTTGTGTGTGTGTGTGCGTGTGTTCTGTGTGCGTGTGTTCTGTGTGCGTGTATGTGCGTGTGGAAGCTCACAGCTATGTACAAGTCCTCCTTAAATTTTACAAAGTTTCTTAAATAGAGTTCGGAACGTCTCTCTCTCTTTGCCCAGAAACCGACGTGCCTGGCTGCGTAGTCAGTTCTTTTTTTTTTTATTTTAAGGATAAAACTCGGCGTTGCTGTCCCGCGAGAGGGACACTTCCATGGGACGGGCAGCAGCCCGCCGACTCTCTATCCCCTTACCTACAGCCATCTGTTGGCACGTAAAGAACTTTTATCGTTATTATTCATTATTATTACCTTTTTGAAATGATCATTTTTTAAAAAAAAACAAACAAACAAACACATGATCTGTCCCTGGCTAAGTGCCAGAAGCGTCCGGTCGTATGGTTAGTACGGACGGGCGGACGTCCGTCTTGTCCCCACGCAAGGTGGGCGGCGGTTGGTGGGGAAGGGGTATGAACGCGTCATGGCCTCGAAGGCCGTGCCTAGTCTTCACATTTCATAGGGTCAGAAGTTGATCTCGACGTAGGGGGAGTCGCGGTCCGCGGACGGGCCCACAGGCGCCCGGCGAAGGGCGGCCCTACTGTGCGCACACGCGTGCGTGCGTGTGTGTGTGTGTGTGTGTCTAGTTTTACATATTTTGTTCTGTTATTTTTTTGTTCTATGTGCGTGAGATGGAGGACATTCCTGGGGTGGCGATGAGGCGTCTCGAGTCTCTCGCGCTCTCCGGGGGGCGTGGGGACGTGGGCGGCGGCCGCCAAGCTATACCCGGGTGGTCGAGTGCCCGTGGGGCAGGTTGCTACTGTTCTGGCCTCCGCTGAAGGTGTTGAAGGTGTGCAGCGGCTGCATGCCCGTCAGCGTGTTGGGGATCATGGTGATGGTGTTTGGGGTCATGAGCGGGATGTCGTCGGGCGAGCGCCGCAAGGTGAGGGTGTAGTCGGGCGGGCACGTCAGCCGCAGCGTGTCGTGGGCCTGCAACGACTCACACTCGTGTTCGTGTTCGAGCTGCTTCATCTGCAGCGACATCATCTCTTCGTTGCGGATGTGGGCGATGTCGTTGGTGGCGCTGCGCTGGGGGCTGGGGCGCCGGTGGGTCTCGTGGCGGTGTTTGTCCTTCTTGTAGTAGAGGGCGGCGAAGGCCAGGATGTTGAGGAAGAGCAGGGAGGCGCCCACGGCGATGGTGACGCTGAGTTCCGTCGAGTAGTCGCGCTTGGTCTCGATGAGGACGGTGGTGTCCTCGGGCCCCGGCTTCTGCGGGTCCTTGGCGTGCTTGGGGCTGTTGGCGGGCGTGATGGCCGGGCGCTTGGTGGTGGGCCAGATCTTGGCCGGGGACCGCCGGGTGCCGTAGGGGAAGGAGGTCATGTCGGGCGGGGGCACCTTGGTGGTGGTGGAGACGTACTGGAAGATCTCGTTCAGGTTGTGCAGGTGGGGGACCAGCTCGAGCCAGAAGGCCACCTTCGTGGCCCGGTAGTGGTCCCGGACGCGGGGCTTCAGGCCGATGTGCAGGTAGAGCTGGTCCTTGGGGTTGTACTTGGACCAGGCCACCTCCTCGAAGCGGTTGGGTTTGGTGTGGATGAACTTGGTGTCTTGAGGCACCGGCTGGTTGGGGTCCCTGGGGAAAGGGGGGAGGGAGAGAGAGAGAGAGAGAAAGGAGGTCATGGGCTTCCACGTGGTGCAACTACATCTGCATATCCTATAGAATAAAAGGGTAATATGCAAATTGACCCTAACACCAGAATGATGGCCGATTGCCGGTTTAGGTCCGATCCCTGTAAACTGGCAGTAGGACATCCTTCGAAGGGTCCCAAATTGGAGGACCCTATATAATAAAAGGGTAAGATGCAAAGCCCAATCCCCCGGGGAACAGGCCTAAGCCAGCAGGTGGACATCCCCCGAGGGCTCCCGGGCTGCCAGAGGGCACAGGCCGGGCTGCGGGACCCCCCTGAGTGCACAATTTTTTGTGCACTGGGCCTCTAGCATATATATATTTATATCTATCTATCTATCTATATACCTATCGATCTATCTATCTATCTCCTATTCTATACTAGTGGCCTGGTGCAAAAAATTTGTGCACACTAAAAGTTAGATTAATTAAAGGAAATATTTTAATATTGCTATTGGCCCTTTGCCGGGGGCGGGGACGTGAGCCTCAAGTCCCCGCCCACCGATGCTGTAAATCCCCGCCCACCTGCTCCTGCTGCACACGCAGCCTGCCGATTCGTCGTTATGTGACTGCATCTCAACCAATCTGCATATCACCCTGTTATTAGACATGTAATAAAAGCCTAATATGCTAAGCGTCCGGGCGGCCAGTCGTCCGTTCAACCAATCAAAGCGTAATATGCTAATGATATGCTAAGGCTGCTCAACCGCTCGCTATGACGTGCACTGACCACCAGGGGGCAGACAGTCGACCAATCGCTATGACGTGCACTGACCACCGGGGGGAAGGAGCTCCGACCGGTAGGTTAGCTTGCTGCTGGGTTTCGGCTGATCAGAACTGAGTGAGACGGGCCGGACACGCCCTGGAGCCCTTCTGCGGCCCCTCCCCCCAGCTGGGCCCCGCCTCATGGGCCGCCATTGGGTGGGAGGAGCCGGCCGGACCCCACATATGCCCATGACCGGAATCGAACCCAGGACCCATCATTCCATAGGCCGATGCTCACCCACTGAGACACACCAGCTAGGGCCCTCTCTATCTATATCTCCCTTGCCCTCTCTCTCTCTGTGTCTCTCCCCCACCTGCAGCCATCTCACGTTCATGGCAACAGCCTCAGCCACCAGAGCCGGGCTGGGACTTGAAACATCAGTGACGTATTTTGAAATGCCTCAACATGGGGACGTTTGCTTAATGGAAGCCAGGGCCGAGGAGGGGAGCGCTCTGGGCTATGAGACCAGACCCCCCAGGTGTAAATCCTGGTTTGGATCTTTACAGGTTTTGTGACCTTGAAGACCTTGAAGGGGTTCTCTTCGATCTCTCTGTTTAAAATACATTTTTATTGATTAGAGAGAGGAAGGGAGAGAGAGAGAGAGCTAGAAACATCCATGATGAGAGAGAATCATGGACCGGCTGCCCCCTGCACGCCCCCTACTGGGGATGGAGCCCGCAACCCGGGCATGTGCCCTTGACCGGGAATCGAACCCGGGACCTCCTGGTTCCTAGGTCGATGCTCAACCACTGAGCCACACCGGCCAGGGCCATATTGCAAATCACTAACTAGCAACGACCTCTGAACCCCTTGTCGCTCGCTTACAAACATCTCAGTCGCTAGACTGTGCCCATCCGCTCTCAATCTCCCCCTTTTTCTCGTCAATCCGGCTGCAGCCGGGGAAATCGCATTCCGTACGTAGTTGGATTTCGAGGGCATTTTGCTCTGCGCTCTCAGTGAAGTTCCGAGTGGCCTCGTTGGCGTGCCAACAAGCTTTCCAAATTAATTAAAGGAAAAAGAAGAAAAAACAACTCATTGCATGAGTATGTCCGAGTGTCATTTCAGCTCTGCACCCCGTGAGCGACAGATACAGAATTAGCTCCTACTTGGAGGAAGTCCCGCCCGTTC